TTTGGGAAGCACAGTGATATCGCTCTCAAATTCATATCATAAATCATGCTTCATTGTTTGAGGCATCATGGGAAGTAAAGTCTTCCTAATGTTTCCCTACCGTCCCTCGGTCAACACTCAGCTTGGTTCTTTATGAAGGTCCCACAACTCCTCTCTTGCTTATCTGAATAGTAGCCAATCCAGGCATACATTCATATGGGCATATAGAATTATGTAAATATTTGTAGGTACATTTATATATGGTATCAAACTATACATCATATCCTGCAACTTGCTATTTTTATGTCTTTATGATCTTTCCATATCAGTATATATTGCATTTATGTTGTGATCTTTTTCTTATTAGAACGATGCTGTAGTAACATCCTTATACAGGCTCCTGATTCACAGGTGTGAGTGCTTCTCTACGGTAGGGTTTCTCAAACCTGGCTTCACATTAGAATTACCCAGGGCTGGCCGAGTGGCGCATTGGTTAAGAGCTGGCTTGGGACACCAGAGGGCCCTGGTTCGGATCCCACATATGAGGGCCAGTGACACTGCCTTCTACAGCTAAGATGCTGAACAACAGCTCGACCTGGAGCTGGGCTGCCATGAGTCGCTGGCCAAGTCATAGGCTGCAGCCCCTGCTGCAGTGGGTTGCCATGGCTACCGTGTGTAGCCAGCAGCCAGCGTGAGCTGCCATCCAGAAGCCAGCGACTGATCTGCCTGGCCCGGGAAGAGCACAATGATGGTGCCAACTTGGGCCAGTGAAGCAATGTCCTCCACAACTAGACTGAAGAACAAAAGGACAGCAACTTGTCTGTTCCCCTTCCCTGATTCCCCAAAGCTGTTCCCCTCCCCCAATTCCCCAATAAAGTCTTTTAAAAAAATTTTTTAACTATAAACCAACATCCAGGAAAGCGTTTCCTTCTAAACTGAAATGGCGACTCCTCCAAGAGACCTATAGAAATAGGGCGCCTACTCCACCTCAAGTAATTATTTTCATGGCACTTGGTTTATTTTCTTTGTATCACTTGCAACAGTTTATAATCATTTCATTTAGTTGATCACTATCTTTGATAGCTCACAATCTCCAACAAACCTTCTAGAGAACAGAAAACAAATTCATGTTGTTCACCCAGTAATCTTAACACCTATTATACCAGAGCCTAGCGCACACTAGGTGGACAATATGTGTGGAATAAATAAATGCCTGTGGCTGCCTAGGCAGTGAGTGGTTAAGCATGTCAGGCTGTGATAAGGACAGTGAAATGAAGGGAAAATGCTGGTGCTCTCATTTCCTAGTCCCAATATCCCAAATAGAAAACAAGTATTTTATCTTAGCCAAAGAGAACCTAAATACCTACACTATCGTATAAGGTACAGATTAATGTGTGGCAAATCTTGACCGTGTAAAAAAAAAAAACAAAACACCCACTATATTAGAAGGTAGAATATAATAAGCCATAAGCCATCTTTAGAAATGAATTTGTCCCTTCTCTGCCATTTCCCTGCACTTTGGTAAGCATCTAAAACAAACAAACAAACAAATAAAAAACCCAAACAAACAAAAAAACCACGTATACAGCAAATAGCACAGCTAAGCATGAGGGACAGTTGGAAGACATGGGCCCGGGCGTATCAGCTGTCCCTGAGAACATGACTCCTCAGCTGTTACCCTTCTTTCCCCTTACAAGTAAGTCTTGTCACGCAGGCCTCTAAACAGGAGGGGTCAAGAGGGAAATTTCATTTTGATGCTGATTATCATATAAAATTACTCAAGATCATAGTTTCAGAAAGCCATGGAATTCTTTCTCCACAGAGAATTTTAATAATGCCTAAATGACACATACATTGTGCCCAATAGGTCTAACCATTTCAAATCAGGCCAAAAGGCCTCAGGGCTAGAAATTCTGAATGTTTTCCAAGGTTCTTTCTACAATATACCTGATCAAAATACAAAGAATATTGACTAAGTAAGAATGAAATCTTACACGTAATTTCTTTGACGTTTCAGGGTGAATTATGTTTACTTCTTTTTAGTTCTTTTTTTTTAATATACATATATTTTTATTTTAGAAAGTTTTATTTTATTTTTTTATTTCTTTTAAAGATTTTATTGGGGAGTTGGGGAACAACGCTGGGGAATCGGGGGAAGGGGAACAGACAAGTTGCTGTTGTATTGTTCTTCAGTCTAGTTATGGAGGACGTTGCTTCAAAACCCAAGTTAGCACCATCATTGCGCTCTTCACGGGTGAGGCAGATCAGTCACCAGCCTCTGGACGGCCGCTCACAGTGACTGCTGTTCACTCACGCTGGCTGCTGGCTACACACAGTAGCTTATGGCAACCCACTGTCACAGGGACTGCAGCCTATGACGGCGACTCACGGCAGCCCAGCTCCAGGTTGAGCTGTTGTTCAGCATCTTAGCTGTGGAGGGCAGTGTCACTGGCCCTCATATGTGGGATCCGAACCGGGGCCCTCTGGCATCCCAAGCCAGCTCTTAACCAAGGTGCCACTCGGCCGGCCCTAGAAAATTTTATTTTAGATTTACAGAAAAGTTGAGACGGGAGCTTCCATGTCCTCCACACCCAGCTTCCTCAATGGTTAGCATCTTACTTTAGCGTGGTACATTTATCACAACTAATGAAGCCATACCGATACATTATCAGCTGAAGTCCATGCTTCATTCAGATTTCCTTAGTTTTTACCTAATGTCTCGTTTTTGTTCCAGGAGTCCATCTAGGACAGCACTGTTATATTTACCCATCACCTTTCCTAGGGCTCCTCTAGGCTGTTACAGTCTCTTAGACTTTCCTCATTTTTGATAGCCTGGACAATTTTTAAAGTGCTTGTCAGGAATTTTGTAGAATGTCCCTCGATTTGGGTTTGATTGGTGCTTTTTCTCATGGCTGGACTAGGTTAGGGGTTTGGGGGAGAAGCCTCTCAAATGCTGCGTCAGCTACATGGTCAAGGTTAATATCAACAGCAATGTCATACTGCCATCACGTACCTTTCATATAATGTGAATGGCACTTTACCTTTGTGATTTCTACTTTTCAAGCAGAAAATTTTACATCAATATATTGTTGACTGTGAAGTCACGATCGTGATATATATTTGGTAATACAAATGGATTTAGAAATATAGTGAGATCAAGCCACTTTCCCCTTTAATATGAAAAAAAAGGGGTTCCTATTTCAAATTTTAGCCTCAAAACACACAAAAGCTTTTTACAAAAACCTGTCATGATTTTTAAGGGATTTCTGCACATGGAGCAAAGTGTTAATATAGGCTGTGAGCTAAAAGTAAGAGCATATCCATCATTCAGAAATTGCAGAAAAACCCCAACTAGCCTTTGATAATCCAAAGGAAAACAAACCGGTGGACAAATCTCTACTATTCACAAAAATAGTGTTTCTATTATAAAACATAGCATTATTTTTAAATTATATTCTAATTATTTAAATCTGGAAGCGTATACTTATATAAAATATGCTCACATTCTCATGACTGTCTTGTATGTCAGAAATTAATATAGCAGCTAATTTAGGTCATAACTGAGTCCTCAGTATAGGGCGGTACAGGGGGAGGAGCTCATCAAAAAGCTTCTCCTGGACACTTACGGAGGAAATAATCCAGTAGATCAGGCCAGCACGTGAGATAAGGAGGCTGATTAACTGTGGGTCAGTTGTGGCCTAAGTGAATTATTGCAAATAGGAGAGTCTTAATCTCTCTCAGCTGTAATATATGAAGAGGACTAATGACCTTCTCCACGGTGAAGAATGTTTTTACATCAGACCAAAAGAAGGTGGCTACTGAATCTATATTTCTAAACACAACTATATTCAACAATTAGAATATGCAGTGTATATATTTACACACATATATTTATATATGTATATATGTACTTGTATGTATGTGTGTACGTATGCTCTTATACATATAATGTATAACTATGGCTCTTTCAAAATCCCCAAATGAGCTACTGTGGTTTTTTTACTAATTAATAACAACTCATTAATTAAATATCTCACAAGTTATAAGAACAGAAGAGAGGATGGAACATTGGTTATTCTTATGCTTGTTAACATGAGAGTCCAGCCTTGTGAACTGAGGATGCGAAGGACAAGAAAAGGAACAAGTTACTCACAGACACTTCGGCCATACTGATAATTAAAGTCCTTTTCTCTCTTTATCTCTCTGGCCACTTAGGTTAATTTAAGGATTTATTTTATCTCCAATGTATAGATAAAAAATGTAGGTGATAAATAATCAGACTTTATGCCATTTAGGAAACAAAATGGATATATCTACTTCGAAAGTTACTTTACTGTTAGAAAAGTTGTGTTGAAAGAAGGTAAATCTTGCTGTCATTTTCATTCTATTTAATATTTTTAATTAAATTATAGAAAGAAAATTAAGTTATAGGAAGTGGTTTTAAATTATTTTTCTTTAGCATACCGTTTGCTACAGTTTAAAAGAGAGACAGCCAGAGTTTGTGCTCCCTAGAAGGGAAACCACTTTAAGGCTTGTAGGTTTTCCTTATACGTCTGCTTTTTATTTTTAAACATCATTACCTCTTTGCTGACCAACATTTTCTTGCAAATTATGGCAAGGGGGGAGGAGCACGAGCAAAGGAGCTGGGTGAAAGTTTATGATATTCCCTGCCAAAATTCCAAGCTGAAATCAAATCCTTCATAA